TTTTTTTTCACATTCTGTCTCTCACAGTTGAAGTGTACCTCTGGTGCAAATTAATGACCTCTGTCATCATTTTAGGTGGGGGAACTTGCACAATCGGTGGCTAACTAAATACTTTTTTGCCCCACTGTAAGTGGGGCAAAGCAAGGCCTTTGGTGCTGTACACCAGTGAGATAGCTTCTATAATCCTGTGGGACAGCCTCTGTTTAGACAGAGCTCTACCTTTAGTTGGATTAGCGAAGCAGAAAAACAGCTGGTCACACAAATGCACATTCTAAGCGCGCTCAATGTAGGTGTGTAGCACACGCACTGGACAAAGAGAATGCATCTTCCTCTGCTCCTCAGATGCCAAAGGAGGGGAGCAAAAGCTCAGCACCTCAAACTCCATTGAGCTATAAAATGCAGGCATGATCTTGGGAAAATAGGCAGCATTTGGACGCATTATGACTTTGTGGCCATCAGGAGAGAACTATGTGCAGGAGGGATGCACAGACAGCACATGAGGACACCCACCCGCTTTGCCGAAGCCAAAGCAAGAAGGAATGGAGTCTTATTTGAGAGAAATTTCATATCCACAGATTCAATGGGTTTAAACAGCACCAAAGACAAGTCCCAAGCAGGGACACTGGACTTAAGCATGGCTCTCAGCCAGCGAACCCCTTTCAGAAAATGTATAGCAAGGGGATGTGCACCTGGTGTCAGCCTGTCAAAGCCAACATGACAAGCAGATATAGGTGCTAAATAAACCGTAATTGTTGAAAATGAAAGGCCCTTATTGAGCAGCTCCTGCAGGAATGTCAAAACATCCACAATAGCCCTTCGGTTATTTTTATTCATTTACTCAACCTTCTTTAGCTCTGAACAATGTCTCAAAGTAGTGTTTAACATGAATAAATAGAATTAGACATAAAATAACTGCATTGAAAATACAAATACGCACTGGAAATGTATTACAAAATACAGAAGCAAAAATACAGAAGCCGTGTGTGTGTGTGTGTGTGTGTGTGTGTGTGTATAAAGATCTGCTACCCAGATCTTTATTCTTTTTTTCCTGGTTTGTTGGAATGTACACCTTGAAGAAACAGCAACCTCTGAAAGGTACCAGGTGCTCATCAACTGTCACCTCAGGGCCTGCATTGTACATAGCTGGTATGTCTGTGAAGGTTCTCAGTCATAACATAAGTGGTAGGCGCTCCACCCACCTGTTCAGTGGCCAATTCAGTGGGTCATTCAATGGGTGTCGTTCAGCAGCCCATTCAATGGGTCGTTTAGTGACCCATTCTGTGGTGTTTTTCAGTGGGTGTCGTTCAGTGGCCCACTCAATGGGTCGTTCAGTGGACTATTCAGTGGGATTCCCATTCATTTCCTATGGCGATCACCTTTGACCGGGAACACCACAGATGTAATCAAACACTCAAAATTCAACAAAAGAGGCGATAATCACTGTGAAATGTTCTAGTGCATGGTGTGGAGGATGCATAAGGCCTTGAGGCAATCGGATGTAAAACACAATATTTATGAGTGCTTTAAGCTGTAAATCGGTCAAATTTGACCTGAACACAACAGGAAGGATAGAGCACTGAAATGGGAGAGTGTGGCGGTCCTGGCACCATTGCTCGAAGGCTCGCCATTTGTAAGCATACAAGCCTCTAGTAGATGGGGCCCTAGCGCTCTGAATTGTTGGTACTAGGTGGCAGAACCTTAGCAATTAAGTTTGACCTCTCAGGAGGTAAGCATGAAGGTGCACAGATCACGCCACAGGCGTGGATGAACCACTTCTCCTCCTGCCTGAGCGAGGAGGTCCCTGCGGATTGGAATCTGCCAAGGACTCGCTGCTAGCAGGCTGATTATCTCTTCATACCATGACCTTGTGGACCACCAAGGGGCCACTAGAATCAGAGAGAGAGACTGCCGACACACTGTCTCTAGAACTGGA